AAGGCAACTGATTAATGTTTCTTCCTCTCTCTCTCTCTCTCTCTCTCTCTCTCTCTCTCTCTCTCTCTTTCTCTCTCTCTCTCTCCTTCTCTCTCCTTCTCTCCTGTTCTCTCTCTAAAATATATCCTCACTTGAGGATTTTTTTTTAATCCACCTGAAGGTGTTCACAGGGTCCTGGAGGCTTCGAGTCCCGGCCATGCCTCATCTTTACAGTTTTTCCAGAATTATGTTGCTCACAAGTAATACATGACCCAAAAATAATTTCAGCTGCCTTTTTAAAGTTTCCCCACCAATGTTGATTTAAGCTAGTAACCAATTTGTCTTTTAAGTACCATCTGATTTCACTCATATGTGGAATCTAATGAACAAATTAAACTAACAAAATAGAAACAGCTGTCAGAGGGGAGGGGGGCTGTGGGGCTGGGTGATTGGTGAAGGGATTAAACAAAATAAAATACCTGTAGACACAGATAATAGCATGTTGATTATCAGAGGGGAAGGGAGGTGGGAGTAGGTAGAAGAAGGTATAAGGGGGATAAATGGTGATGGAAGGAGACTTGACTTGGGGTGGTGAACACACAGTACACTATACAGTTGATGTATTATAGATTTGTATACCTGAAACCTATGTAATTTTATTAACCAGTGTCATCCCCAATAATTTAATAAAAAATAAAGAAATAATAATACTGTCTTTGCTTTCAAATGACATGATTAACTATGAAGAAAATTTGAAGAAGACTTGACCTTGGGTAGTGAACATATGATACAATATACAGATGACGTATTATAGAATTGTGCACTTAAAACCAATGTCATCCCAATAAATATTTTTTAAAAGATAGTAAGCAATTTGTCTTGGCCATGACAAGTAGTTTCATGGAGAAATTCAGCTACTATCCACTTGAAATCATCTGGTGCCACCAAATGGCCATCTTGAGAGTGCCAAGGATGGCCTGATTGAAGAATATACCACATTTTTTCCATTCTTCCTTTTCCAGATCCAGACTAAGTGTGGATATTTAATAATAGTCCAGAGATCTATCCTTTGGTGGTTAGTTAGTATCATAACCTTGGTGGAAGCTGCTTGCGTGGTAAATTGATCTACTACAGCATTTCCTTTAACGTCCATATTATCTCCATCTCAATCATTATGAAAGCCATCTCACTGGGAAGTAGCAGTGCATGGAAAAATTCCTGAATTTGGCCACTTTTGATGAGGGTTCCAACAGAGATGAGAAAACCTTTTTGTTTCCAAAGCATCATGTACGACTCCAGAGCATTCCTGCATGTTTACTCTCTGGTCTTTGGCTAGTTGACAAGTTCTATTAAGTGTGATAAATTCTGCCATCTGGACTGATTTTACCTGATAGAGGCCTGTCTTTTAAAGGGGAGTGCAGATTGGTGATAGCGTTAATAGTAGCTTGATAACCTCCAGTTTCCATTTTGAAGTATGATTCACCAGCAAGCACTAGGTCAAGCCCTAGTCAGTTTGGCTCAGTGGATAGAGCATCAGCCAGCAGACAGGAGGGTCTCCAGTTTGATTCTGGCTAAGGGCACATACCTCCATTGTGGGCTCAATCCTTGGCCCTGGTCGGGGCATGCGTAGGAAGCAACCAATCGATGTGTCTATCCACATTAACGTTTTTCTCTCCGTGTCTCTCTCCCTCCCTTCCATTCTCTTTAAAAATGAATGGAAAAATATCCTTGGGTGAGAATTAACAAAAAACAAAACAAAACAAAACAAAAAAAAACATAGGTCAGAATTCTCACTGGGAGTCTCTAATAAAGCTGAGCAGATACAGAAAGTTCCCTAACTGAAGTAAGACAATCATGAGGTTCCCCTTCTTATGGGAAGGGCAGAAGAGTAGCAGAGTACAGGGTCTTACAGCAATGAATAGTATGAGAGGGAGAGAGCAGCAGAGGTTAACTGACTGACTGAAGTTCTGTGTGCTCTCCGTCAGTAAAGTCTGCATGGGGAACCATACGGTCAAGCAGGGAGCCTAGAATAAATTCAGCAGAAGCATAGCATTGACCCGGTTGCACTGGCAATGCCCTAAGACAAGGGTGCGGCTACAGTAGTGATGGGATTTTGATGGTTCCCATGAAGGTGAGTTAAAACCCCAAGGTTTGCCAAGAATGTTCAATTAGACAAAAGGGTTTTTTGCTGTTAGGGATGTCTAAGGAAACAGACTGTTGAAGAGCCTTCTTTGGATTATAGAAGACTTGTTTAATACGTGGGCTCCTAAAAGAGAGTGGTTCTTACCAAAAATTTAGCATTTTGTAAAAAGGTATCACAACCTCAAAAAAATGTGCACTCACTGTCTGAACTCTTCAGTTAAACCTATAGACATCATCTCAATTGTAGTTTTTTGAGGAGTCTAAGGTAAGTTTGAATAGTCTCTAACCTGTCATGAGTGAATGTTTTCCCCTCCTTAAATAGGTCATGTTTTAAATTATGGGCTATATTTTGGCAAAATTGTAATTTGTCTTTTTTGAAATTGTATTTCCCTTTTCTGCTAAGCCTGAGAACAAGTAAGTGGAATCTTTCTTACAGACTTCTCTGAACAAAGTAGGAAATCATCTATATCATATATCAAAATTGAATCACAAGGGAAATTTGGATCCTTTAAATTTGTTAATCCTCAACCAAGGACATCTTTCCATTAATTTTTAGAGGGAGTGGAAGGGAGGGGGAGAAACAGCATTCACATCCATTGGTTGCCTTCTGCATACATCTTGACCGGGGCCAGGGATTGAACCTGCAACCAAGATACGTGCCCTTGACCATAATTGACCCCGAGATCATTCAGTCCATAGGGCCAACGCTCTAACCACTGAGCAAAGCTGTCTAGGGCTGGATCTTTTCATTCTTGATTAAGGACTTAGGAAAACAGGAGGGGCTTCAGTGAACCTCTTGGGCCTATCTGTCCATATAGAGTATTATCCTCTCCAATGTGGCAGAAAGATGTTGATTTATTCTGGTGTCGGGGCACACAGAGAAAGGCAGAGCAATAATCCACCACAGGGAAGCAGGTGGTTTGAGGAAGAACTGTTGGCAGGATAGTATTTAGTATTAGATTCTAGTGGAAAGGGAGGAAAAAGAATTGCATTGATATCCCTGAGATCTTGAACAAATCAATATTCTTGTTTATTGGTTTCTTTGCTGGCAGGACAGGAATGTTACAAGTGTTAGGGCAGGTTATAACAGGCCTTGAGATATAAGGCCCTCGGCTATAGGGCTGAGGCTTTTCTTTACTCTAGCTTCTAGCTTTGGGGAAGTTTGGCTAACACTTTGGTAGACTCTACCTGAACTTTAACAGATTCCACTCCAATTATGTTCCCTGTGTCAAGGGGAATTTTATAGAGTCAGGTATAGTGTTAAGATCTTCATCTGGAGTATACATCTCTACTAATAATAGCCTAGAAGGCATCATGCCCTCATGCATCACACCCTAACGTTGTCACAAAATGGCCATCACAAGATGGCTGTGTGCACAGCAGAGGCGGAGCCCAGTGGCTGCTCCACACGGTGAGGCCTGGGGGTCCCGTGGCTCCAGGCGGCATGGAGAAGGCTGGTCCTGGCATCTCCGCCGCCTTGTGTGGAGAAGGTGGGTCATGGCAGGGGAGGGCAGTTGGGGGAGATCAGGCTGGCAGGGGAGTGGTTAGGGGGCAATCAGGCTGACCTTGAAGGGTTTCATAAATTTCAATTATTAAATTTTGTTATATTCTAAAAAGAGACATAGTCATTTCAAATACAGCAGTTTGAAGTCATTCAAATTCTGAAAGTCTGAATGAAGTTACCATGTTATGTTTTTTTAAAATCAGTGAGCTCTGTTTTAAACTTTAACCACTGAACTATTCTTCATTGAATTAGTATTTTTGTCCTTATGGCACACATTTTCAAGAACATTTTTTTAAAAAGTAAAAAAAATTTGTCCTAATAAGGAGTCATTAGCATTGTTTTCTGATTGTGCAGTTATAAAACTTTATACCAAATGCATTGCACTTATTTTTGAAGTTTTAATAAATTGTAGGAATTCAATGAGGTAAAACAAACAAACAAAAAACTCCCTTTGAATGGCAAATGCTAGGATTTTAATCTGTAATCTTAACTTTTTGAACAAGATCGGTTCCTTCTTTGTGACTTCTTTTTTAATGTTCCTTCAGGTTGAACCCAATTATATGCTTTTCTCGTTTGTAAATAACTTACAGCTGAAATAAAACAGTGAGTCCCCTTCTACACTTGAATGGTGACTATTTGCTGTTCTCCAAGACTTCCAAGTGATCCTGTTTTCACCACGCCCTTTATCTGGCTCTTTAACTGCTTAAATCGAATCCCCTGTTTTTTGTCAGAAATTTTCCTTTTAATGATGGGCTGTGTGTCTCTCTCTTTTGAAAAACATACAGAATCCTAGGGAATCTTTCAGAATCTGAGAAGTCATTACAAAGTGTAAGGTAGGCAAGAGATAGGGTGGAAAGAAATGCCTTGTGCATAAATCCAGTTACTCTGAATCACCCTTGGCAACTTCCGGGACCAGGCTTCAGGTGGTGCTAGAAATTGTCCTCTTACCCATATCTATTTATTTTTTTAATGACTGTGCATATTTGCATACACAGATGGTTAGAGAGAAAGCGATGACGTGAGTCTCTCCTTGGAGACTAGGAGGTGATCAGGAAATAAAACAGGTGTCTGGAAGGGGTTCTGCTAGAGAAGGGAGAACTGAGAGTCAATAACCATCACTCAGACAGGCAGGAGTTCTCCGCAGGTAGCCGCCCGGCCAGGCCCACTCGTGCACCCGCTTTGGGGACAGGCTGTGCTTCTTCCTATTTCTTCGCTGGCGGCCACAGGGTGCACGTTTATTTGAAAAGGATTGAGCTGCCTGCTCAGTGGCTGGTCAGGTTGACTCTTTAAGACTAGTGGATAGTTCTTTTTAATATCTTCAGTGCTTTTTTTTTTTTTTTTTTTTTTTTTTGAGGTTGAAGGGGAAGCGATCGGTTAAAATTCTGGTTTGGTAAGTGGGAGATTCTCAGAAATGAGAAAAGGGGCAGGAAACTGACTTAGAAGCCGGAGCGCAAAGCTGCAGCCCCCAGCGGGCCATCTCCCGCCCCCTCACTCCTGGCGGTGACCTCCCGCCGAGACCCCGGGCGGCTGCACCGACAGTTGCTCGGTCCTTCCCCGGCGCGTTGTCATCGGCGGGGCTTGCCGGGCATCGCCCGCTCCGCGCCGCAGCGCGCGCCAGCCCCCGGGGAGGGTGGGAAGGACCGGCTCTGCGCTCGCCGGGTCCCCAGGGCGCCTCTGCTGCGCGGCGGGCGCGGCGCCCACCATGCCCGGCTGCCCGCGGCTCGCCCTGCTCTGCGCGCTGCCCTGGCTCCTGCGGGCGGCGGCACCCGGGAGCCCGGCGCCACCCCTCGCGCGCCGCGACCCCCACGACCCGGCCAGGGGCGCCGATTTCGATCGTGTCTACAGCGGCGTAGTGAGCCTCAGCACCGAGGACATCTACTCCTTCTCCTACACCAGCCAGCCTGGCCAGGTAAGAAGCTCGCTTCCCTCGCGCGCTCGGCTCCCAGGAACTTGCCAGACCTCGGAGCCCGTCGCTGCTTCGGGTCCTTCGGGAAGCGACCTCGGGAGACCTCAGGGACTGGGGGCCCCTAGCTCCTTTCTCATTCACCGCAATCACTGCCCTGCCGAGCGGCGCGTCCTCCGCAACCGGCCTTGGGAACAACTCCGCTCCCCTTCCCGCCTCCCCTGGCCTGGCCGCTGGCATTTCTGGGCTTCCCAAGGCACTGGTCCCCCCACGGTCTGCGGGTCCTGTCCGCCTACTGGACCTTCCTCTAGGAAAGTCGCGGTTTCCAGGGTCGCGGAGGGCAAGGACCGCAGCTCTGGTCCTGATCTCCTGCAGGGAAGGAAACTCGTTCCATTGGGATGACTCCGCCAGACCCTTCTGTTTCCTAGCGCAGTGGGGTGGAAGCGCTGCTCGGAATCTAAAACGGGAATGTGTGAGAATGGACGCAAGCTGCAGAACCTCTGTGCATTCGTAGTCACTTCCTGTGCTTCTGTACCATTGTCACACATCTGTGCTTCCGAGAAGCCGGAAGACCCGGCCAGAGACGTAGGAACTGCAGCCATGCCCCTGTCTGTTGAGATTTTGATTTTAAATAAGGGTGGATAATTGTGTGAAAATGTTAGACCTGTTTCTGACAAGAATTGAGGTGAGGCAAGGGAATGACTTCCAGCAGCTATCCCTTTGACACATATACTCTGATTATATAATGTAAGAAAAACATAGCATGATTTTTTTTTCTTTAATGGTACAGATAAAAGAGACCCCCCCCCCCCCCATTGTACCTGTCTCTGGATCTTCATCCCACATAAATGTGTGTGGGTATGTGTCCCTACTCCCGGGAAAATTCAGGAACTGATTATTGGGATACCATGATATGCCTCCCTCTGTAACTCTCACTGACCCAGGAACTTGGGGTTGTACTGAGCTGGAGGAACCAATGTGCCTATGCCCTCCCAGTCATCTCCCAACTGTGTGTATTAAGCAAGTGTTCCATCTCCACTCTGTCACTCCACCCTAAGGTGTGGTTGCCATGGCAGCACAGCCCTCACCCTGTCCTGTCCTCCTCTGGCCTTCCCCTGGTGTGCCCTGAAGTGAGCAGAGTGGCTGTGTGCAGAGCCGTTCCATTATAGACATGTGGGAAGGGGCAGATTTATTCTCCAAACCCCACGTAAGTGACCTCTTTCTGTCCCGTGTGTGGTATGGGCCAGCTGACATATGACAGATAAGGTGTGTTTCTAGCCCTGTGATTGACTCAGAACAAATAAAAGTCTAAAGAACTCCATGATCTCTGGGATGTACTGCCAGCATCCCCCTAAATCATCGGTAAGAAAACTCAAGTGATCTGTGCAAAGTTAATTCCTAACAGCAGGCTTTCGTGTTTCTTGCACTTCTTCTTAGAGATAGATTGACTGCCTTTTAACTGTTTGGCCTTTTTGCCGTTAGTATTCTGCCAGTTCCTCTACTTCACTATAGCACAGGTGACACTATTTGCAGTTGGGGTCACCTGACTGACTTTGTTAGAAAACCATGCGACATTGAGGAAAAGGGCAGAATCATGTTCATCTCTGTACCCCAGTACCTAGCACAGTGCTTGGCACATAAGAGGTTTACCAATGTTTTGGAAAGAAAAAAAAAGAATAAAAAGTGAAGAAAGATTTAAGGACTCTATAAGCTGAAGCTAAATAAGATAAACTATGTAGTGTTTCACTAGGTTGAAAGTGTAAGATCATTTCAGATAAAAACAAAAAATTTTTATGAAAAACAAAATTTTTAAGAATTTTTCTGCGATTATGCCCTTTCCATTTTGCCTGTGTGTTAAAGTGCCCTTTATTTTATGAAACAATGTCAATTACTTTTTAAAATATCTTTGCATAATATAATAAAAAGTTAGTTACCCTAGAAGTCCCTAAAATTTTACTAGTCAGCAATACAGGTGGGGACCATGGAACTGACAGATAACTCAAGTATTTTAATGCCAGTAAGCAATAATATGAACCAGATGTTCTCAAATCTTACAGCTTTCTGAGCTCTCTCTCTAATGTCCAAGTAAGACAGTGGAACTCTCCGCCCGCTTACTTTGGGAAGTGACCCTCCTCTGCCTCCAGGCAGTATTTCTGTTGATTTCTCCAGAGATGGCATTTTTCTGACCTGTTCGTCCAACCCATTACTCAGTTTCTATTGATAGCCTCCTCTCCTCTTAATCCCTTTTGCCCCACGTGAGCACCAGCAGCCCCTCCTTCCAATACCATGAATATGATACTGTTGGATTTAGCAGAATTTTACCGAAGATTTGGACTAACGTAAGGAAATTGCAGAACACCGCAGGATAAATGATAGATTAAATCAGAAATCTAGGTAACTCTGTTATAACAATTTATCAGCTATCCCCCACGGGGAAATCTCAAGATAGTGACACTATTTTGGGGGCACTGGCTTATCAGTGTCTTCCTGGCCACCCCAAATGCTGACTTCCCACTCTCTAAATTTTTGTTACTATCTCATATCAAACGGTTTTTGCCTCCATCACCAAACCCAGACTCACCAAAGGGCTCTGCTAAATAAAGGTCTATAAACCCAAAAGTATAAGCATGGCCATGACCAGTCTCCTTCGACCTGAGCAAGTCCTGGTCAGGGCTCCTTCCCCTGAAGGGGTCCTTTCCCACCTACCCCTCTTCAGTGCAACAAAGAATTTGGTTTAGGAGAAAAAAAATCTAATTTTTTTTTTGCATTTTAATCTCCTTTTTCCTTTTCTCTTCAAACATTGTTATATTTGCCATTATTTCTCCTTCAGCTTGGAGGAGAAAGGCTATTCTAAATTTAGGCTTTGGTAGAGAGAGGAAGCTACCATGGGAGCCTTCCCTCCTAATCTTTCCTGTCAGCCTCAGCATCTCCCCTACCAAACTGCTGTTCTGGAGAACTGTTTAGCCACGTGTATGTCCTGGTAATTAGCTGAGCTCAGTACCAGGAAAAGTCTCACATGCCTTCCAGGCAGACAGTAATGTAAATAAGAAGTTGCCATTAAAAAAAATATCACCAAAAGAATGGAGTGATTGGTTTAAAGGAGAATAATGAAAGTAATGATTGAAGATGCAGGTTAGGCAAGACCATGGTTCATTTCATTTCCCTTTTCAGAGGACTAGGGTTTCACTGTGGCACACAAGGTGTTCTAAGACCACAGGCTGGAGCAAGACCGGGAGGAAATCACCTCGCTGAGAAAGTCACCAGGGATATGATTGAGTAGGACAGAGGGCACAAAAGCAGATTTTTTGGAAATGAGACTACTTTGTACAGACAGGCGCTGGCGATAAGCAGATGTTTATATTTGAGTCTTTAATTAAAAATCTACCCACTGTGCAACAAGATGTCTTTCTGAGACGTTCAGAAGCAGAATTCAGTGTTTGCCATAGAATTTTTTGAATTTGAAATGTTTCCCTGGAAATAATTATTTTGTTTATTACACGGAGGCATTTGTCTTTTGATGACATATACTTTTCTATGCCCAAGGAACAATGCTGGCTTTAGTATGATCAATCATCAGTCATGTATCTAAACCAGTTATACCAGTCTCTTGGATCCAGGTTCAAAAGCCCACCCAGTTCTCATGAACAATGGTATCTTCTAGCTATGTACATGAATAGTGATGGAGAAGAATGTAAGATTTTGATGTGCAGTCTCAGTTCTCCTGGTCTCGTTTGTGCTCTCCCTGTGTTCTCAGTACTGCGGCAGCGAAGCCTCCTCTGGTGTTCTCTTACTGAACTGCCTGGCGCTTGTTTGTGAGGGGAGAATCATCTCATTCGCACATGATCTGGGTGACTGGTTACTGTCTCTGTCAGCTCAGGCTGTTATAACAGAACACCATAGTCTGGGGGCCTTAAAAAATATTTCTAACAGTTTTAGAGGCTGGGGAGTCCGAGATCTAAGTGCCAGCAGATTTGGCATCTGGTGAGAACTGGCTTCCTGGCTTATAGACAGTGCCTTCTGTCTGGGTCTGCACATGGCCCACAGAGCAGAGAGAAGCAAGCTCTCTCCTGTTTCTTCTTATAAAGGCACTAATCTCATCATGAGGGCTCCAACCTCGTGATCTAATTACATTCCTAAGGCCCAATCTCCAAATACTATCACATTGGGGATTAGGCTTCAAGTTATGAATTGGGGTGAGGGGGGAATACAAATCTTCAGTCTATAGAAGTCACCTCCCACATTTTTCTCTGTGGCTCTGAATGGAGCATTAACTGTCATAAGGGTGTCACGGGCTGACCATACTCCAATTATGATTTTTACGGAGGCCCCATCTCCTGCCTGCCTAGACGATAATCTTGTGCTAAATTCTATAATGAATTCTGTAGGTATGTGCTGTCCAGTATGGTAGCCACTATCCACATGTGGCGATGGAGCACTGGAACTGTAGCTAGTCACAAAATGAGTTGTACTGTAAGGGTATAGAACACACTAGATTTTGAAGACAGTATGAAAAAAAAACATAAAATGTATCATTCATATTTTTATTGATTATGTATTATACTAGAGGCCCGGTGCACAAAAATTTGTGCACTGGCAGGGGGTGGTGGGGGAGGGGGGAGGGGTGTCCCTCAGCCAGACCTGTGCCCTCTCACAGTCTGGGAACCCTCAGGAGATAACCACCTGCTGGCTTAGGCCAGCTCCCCAGGTGGCAGATCGCAGGACCAGATCCCGCGCTGGGTCGCAGATGGCAGGCCCTCTGCCTCGCCACACTGCCCCGCTGCCCACTGCACATGGCAGGCCCAGCGGGTGTTGGGACGGGGTGGGCGGATCACGATCGGCCCGGCAGGCGGCAGGGCAGGGCGGGGCGTGGGGGCGGGCGGAACACAATCCACAGTGCCCTGCCTCACCCCACCGGCCACCGGGCGGCACACATGGACTGCAGGCCCCACTGGCCGCCGGGCCATGCACACAGACTGCAGGCCTGGCAGGCGGCAGGGAAGGGCAGG